GCTGCTGAAAGCTCTCCCAATTCTCTTTCACCTCAGTTTGGTGAACACTGGTCTTTTCATTACCGAGGCATTTGTTTTTACTGATGTCATTCAGGTTTTCCCCTCTTTATTTGCTTCTTGGATCCACGCTTATCAGAGCTAAAACACGAGCAGCCGGCTGGATTTTGGAGGCAGAGGTGGTGTCAAACGGATGCATTCATTTTACATAGGAAATCCATAGCACCATAAATGCCTCTGGACACCTGTTGCGCATTTCCACTGCTCATCTGATGTTCTTCTATGCTTGTGTTACTTTCTTCTGCATGCATGGCACACCCGGTTGGCTTCTTCCCAGAACCAACCCTAAAGAGTTTTAAAGAATTTATATTTTATATTTCCGGCTGTTCCTCGGAAGAACTCAGGCTGCCCTTAAGATCAACCCTCCATTTTGCTTCCTGGTTGCCCCGTCAAATCGTGGCCGGTTTTGGGGAGGGGTGTCTCTGATTTTCCTGAACCCCTGATTTCCCACGTCAGAAGATGGTTGCCTTGGGCAACCCCTGCTCAAGCCAACAGCCCACATTTCAAAAGTGTTTTGATTTTGCAGAGCCCTTTGTCTTCCTTTCTTATCTCTATCCTGAGAGGATTACATTCGAGCGAATGAGTTGAAAAGGTTTGCTATAACCAAGGCCAGATTGAATCTGGTCCCCGGGGCCTTCGGTTTTTCCTTCCAATAGAAATCGGTGAAGATTTGAAGCCTGCAACAAAAGACTCCCTTTTCAACCTGACACACGCTCCACTGGAAAAAAAATAATAGTAAAACTTCTGACATTTCTCCATTTCTGGCAGGTTGTTAAGCATATTTGCAGCCAGCCTTGGTATATTTAATGTCCCGCGTCTGTAAACTCATATCGTAAAATGCTTGGATGCAAACATTGGTGGAGGAAGGCAGGAGAAAGGAGATTTAACACTGAGAGTGTGTTTGTAATTAAGCCGGCTGACAATGGTAGTTTACTAACTCCCCTCTGTTCATTGCAGACTCGGACGTGATGGTGCTAATTGGTGATTGTAATTCATTCCAAATGCGCCCTAATTAAATTACCCATCAGTAGCAGTGAGATTAATGTTCATCATCTAGGTGAGGGCATGATTAAATTTGGGCTTGTCGGATTTTTCAGTTATTAGGAAAGAGGTCGCGAAGGATAAGAAAGAGGGTAGTGCCAAAACCTGTTGAATAGATATGCTCCATCTTCTTCCTGGTGGCATCGAAACGAGGGATTAGGCAAAATTCATAGAAGGCGAGACTAGCCATTGCTACTGCTTCCAAGAATTACATCCGATCTCTGTATCCATCCCTTAAATATGGTCTGAAATGGTGTAGGGTCTCCTGCTTGTGGAGGGGGTTGGATTTGAAAACCTCCCTTTCAGTTCTGTTCTGATTGACTGATTATTAATTGATCGATTGATCCTAATTAACATAATAAAAGAGTCGGAAGGACCCTTAGAAGTCTTCTGGCCCAACCTGATACCATTTCATAGAAAGGGTTGATCAGCTCTTCTTGAAAACCTCCAGGGATGAATGTCTAAGGCAGGGGTGTCCAACCTTGGCAACTTTAAGACTTGTGGACTTCAACTCCCAGAGTTCCTCAGCCAGCTTTGCTGGCTGAGGAACTCTGGGAGTTGAAGTCCACAAGTCTTAAAGTTGCCAAGGTTGGACACCCCTGGTCTAAGGAGATTCTCCGTCATCCAGGTCATGGTTGTCCCAGAGGTGCTTTTCCAAGAGGCAACTGGTCTTCCTTGTCTTTGTCTGAAGATGCCTCACTTCTCATCCAAGGAGTCCTTCAGTAATGGAGCATCCACATCTTCTAGAGGCAACTTCTGTCCCACTGGTTCATTGTTCTCACTGTTAGGAAGTTTCTCCTTAGTTCTAGGTTCCTTCTCTCCTTGTTTAGTGTCCATCTGTTTGATTCTTGTCCTGCCTTCAGGTGCTTTGGAGAATAGCTTGACCCCTCCCTATTATTTGTGGCAGCCCCTTAGATATTGAAATGCTGCTATCGTGGCCTTGCTTTCATTGAAGTAGATAGGTCAAGCATTGGGGAACAAAAACTTTTGTGGGCTGCCAGAGTTGACAACTGGTTGGCCACCAGGTGAACAGAATGCTGCTGGCCTTTGGATTGACCTGTCCCCAAAAAATCCACCATGTCAGCCTTGGAAGCCATTTTTTACTTGGAAGCTTCGAGGCTGCCCCATTCAGTGCCTGGGAATTTGGGAGAGCGGGATTTCATAGTGGGGTAGAAGACTAGACACCACAACATACCTTTCTCAGAGAGTCAAGGACAGGTTGCCCTGCACCTGGAGGGGAGTGACTGGGGAGATGTCTCCAGTTGGGACGAAAATTTGATTGGATTGATGGGTACAAGGGTTGGATCTTTGATTTATCTTTTGGGAAGAGAACATCTGAATGAATGCTTTTATCCACTATTAATGTATTATAATATGTCAGTTTTTTGTGTATATATATATATATATATATATATTGTAAATAGTGATGTCTATTGCTGGTCTAAGACCGTAATAATTCTTTTGGGAAGGGAAACCTGGGACTCTCGGATTCAGGTTTTCCACAATGTGCCAATACAATCACTCTAATAAAATGGTACTTTGAGGAACTGTTTGTCTCGGAGTTTATTGCTTTGGAGTTGGTCAGTTGGAACGCTGACACATTGCATAAGAACACGGGCTCCAGCAAAATAGAAGAGTATTTTTTCAGAGGCTATTTAAGGGAATGGATCACTCAGCAGCTTTTGACAATTGATAACAATGGCATGCCGTTGTCTTTGGACTTTGGACATCTCTTGGCATCAGAATTTTAAGAAAGGTTATCAAGGTTAGTTCTGGAGAGGCCGTTGAGATTGGAGCTAGTCGAAAGAACTTTGTTGTGAACTTTGTAAAAACCTGCTTCTTCTGTTCCTCAGTGGGAGCCTTTTAGAGGCAAAGCCTGAAGATGAAGCCTTCTTCTCAGTTTTGGCCTCCCACACAAAGAATCTCGTCACCCCAGCATCTCACTGGATGTTAAATGTGTCTCCTCTTTTCTTTTTTAATGATAGCCTAAGGAGATTTTATTTCGTCTCTGCTGCTTCTGTTAATGGCTTTCAGCTACTTTGAGAATTCTCTGCTCTTGTTCAATTAAAAAAAAAAAGTTGATTGACAATCTCAGTGTTCTTGGGGAACGGATCTTAAAGAGTTCTCTTCGTGCCAAGGAGCAGGTGGGCAGAACTTAACCACTCTTCCGGATGTCGGAATGGGGCAACAGCCTTTGTTTCACCCTCTTCCCTGTTTATATTTGTAGAGATTGCAGAGGAGGAGCTGAAGATGTAAAGCGACCATGTTTACACTCTGCAGGCCAGTGCCTCTCAATCTTGGTGTCTTGAAGAGCTGTGGCCTTCACACAACCCATGCTGACTGGGGAATTCTGGGAGTTGATGTCCACACATCTTCAAGTGGCCAAGTTTGAGAAGGACTGCTAGAGGCTGTTCTCCATGCCAGTTGCTTAGGATAGCATGGTAGGTCCTTCGTGCTCTCTGAGCTTGGTTGCTTGGTTGCTTGCAGACATTTCATCACCCAACTAACTAACTTCATCAGTGCTAGAAGAGAATGGGATGTTCAGGGAGGAAGAGGAGGAGGAATGTGGAACGCTTGGGCCCCTCTGAGCTTGGTTGTTTCCTTGCAGACGTTTCATGATCCAGCCAGGTAGTCTCATCAATACTAACTGTTGATAATAGCACTGTCAGCACTGATGAAGTTACCTAGTTGGGTCATAAAACATCTGTAAGAATGCAACCAAGCTCAGAGAGCATCAAGGATCCTACAGTCCTCCTCCTCCTCCTCCCTGCAAATCCCACTCCCTTCTAGCACTGATGATGTTACCTAGTTGGGTCTTGAAACATCTGCAAGAAA